ATCACAATCTCCAACTTAATGTACAAAAGAACTGAGATAATAATTATCTACATTACAAATGAATGTGATTTTAGAACTCAATTTATGACAAAACCCCCAAGAATTTAAAGCAGTGGTTCTCAACCTTGGCTGCATAGTAGAATCACCTGGGAATCTTTTTAAAATCCTGATTTCTGGGCCTCATCCTCCAGAAATTCTGTTTCTTTGTTACTAATGTTGTGGCCCCACCCCATAACAAAGAAACAGAATTTCCAGAGGATGGGGCCCAGAAATCAGAATTTTAAAAAGATTCCCAGGTGATTCTAATGTGCAGCCAAGGTTGAGAACCACTGACTTAAAGGATCTTTCATTTGAACAGTTACACAATTCACCTGATGGCCAATTCCTATAATCCAAGTCTTCCAAATGCAAGCATTTAATCTTAAGTATCTAAGTAGAGACCTAGTCTCTGTCCAAATACTACATCTAAACAGACAGTTGGTTAACTTTTTCAAACAACTCTGTGAGAAAGCACTTTCTTATTTTAAAGTAAAAATCTGCAATTCTGCAAATTTCTCCTCTACATTCTTTGGAGAAAGACAGAATAAATGTAATCCTTTTCCATAGTCAGTTTCTCTTCAGATCATATTTCTTATTCCAAATACTTAAAGACAACTCTTCCATCCACTAAGTCAGTGGTTCCATCCACTAAGTCAGTGGTTCTCAACATTAAAATCACCTGGGAATCTTTTTAAAATCCTGATTTCTGGGCCCAGGTGATTCTAATGTGCAGCCAAGGTTGAGAACCACTGCACTAAATCTTCTTTCTAGGATCCCTCATGACATCACATGATTTTCTTACCACTCAGCTACCTAACTGTTCTTTGATTATTAAATGTCTCTCTGAAAAAGTGACACCCAGAATCAAATATAATAATTCTCACAGAATGTAATTGTTTCAGAAAATAGTAGCACTGCTTTTGGCATTTACATAAAATCAACCTTACAGTATCATTTTAACAATTAAATAAGATAATGAGTGCAAAGTCTTAGCACAATGCTAGGCATATAGTACTCAATAAATGGTTGTTGCTGATGTATTTGCTGTATGAAAAAAAATACAACTTATAATAATATTTCATTAGTATTAGCACCTTATCTCCCCAATCAAGCTGTAAGCTCTAGTTCTCCATTACACTGAAAGATTTGCCTTAGGGATAATTAGCTGTTTTCCCCTTTACTTAGAGTTGGGCAGAGAAATAAAGTATTGGGCTCAATTTAAATTGAAGATCCATCAGAAATCAGGATAAAGCCAATTCTGAAATTAAGGCAAATTAATGGCAAACAGGATGTGATTTATTTAAGGAGTTAATTTATACTCAAGTTTCCAGGACACACAAGCAATCCATACTCTTTACCCCTTAATCATACAGTTTAAAGATGCGTGGCTGAGATATGCTGAGGGAATCCACCTGGCACAGACTTTAAGAAATTAAGCTCTAGACCAGGGGTGGGCAAACTTTTTGACTCGAGGGCCACAATGGGTTCTTAAACTGGACCGGAGGGCCGGAACAAAAGCATGGATGGAGTGTTTGTGTGAACTAATATAAATTCAAAGTAAACATCATTACATAAAAGGGTACGGTCTTTTTTTTTTTTTAGTTTTATTCATTTCAAGCCGGCCGGATCCGGCCCACGGGCCGTAGTTTGCCCACGGCTGCTCTAGAATCAGTGTCTAGAGTTCAAATCCAAGATCCACAGTTTACCCACTGTGTGACCTGGAGCAAAATACTAAACCTCTCTGGTCTCTCTGGTTCTCCATCTGTAAAATGTGAGTTATGACAGTACCTACTTAACTAATGGGAGTTTGTGGAAATCAAATGAAAATAGATGTGAAGTGTGCCTGGGATAGTGCTTCTCACCTTTCAAAACTTAGTGAATTTACAGTTATAACTACTAACCAGAAGTTATCTAAAGAGCAAATTATCCTAAATAATTTTGCTAAAACATTATTTGAAAGTCTCAGGCACTGTTAATTTACGTAGACCTTCACCTCTGATAGCCATTGCTAAAGTCAATCAACAGCTTTTTATGTGTTTTACATATTTATAATTGTTTTCCATAATTATCCATTTATTTTTAGGGTAGGTTTTTTAAAATTAATGCAAAACTGATATTCTAATTTTAATATTTAACTAACCATAAATGCTATCTCTAAAGCACATAGTGTGTTTATATTCACAGCCAATGATGAAATAAAAGTACAAACAAACTATGCTTATTAGACCTCCAACTGCTCTGCATGTGGATCTGCACCGTCCGATACAGAAGCCACAGGGGGTCCTCTGGCCCCTGAACTATGGCAGATGTGCTGTGCATATAAAATAAATGCCAGGTTTCTAGGACTCAGTATGAAAAAAAATGCACATTATCTCATTAATAATCTTTATACTAATTACATATTGAGATGACAATATCTTGGATATATTGGGCTATAAAATTATTTAAATTAATTTCACCTGTTTCTTTTTTACTTTTTTAAAGTAGCTACTAGAAAATGAAAAACCATATATAAAACTCACATATTTCTATTAGCACTAATATAGATGACCCTAAAAAATGTGCCTCATGAAAATTATATTCAGGATAAGAGATATGATCTAAATTATAGCAGAAACTAAATGAAGGACTTACATGATTTTCAGAGTTTATATATGCAATGTGGATTCATCAGTTGCAACAAATGTACCACTCTCGTGGGGGTTGCTGATAATGGAGGAGGCGATGAATGTGTGTGGGAAGGGGTAAGTGGAAAATCTCTGTACTGTCTTCTCAATTTTGCTGTGACCCTAAAACTGCTCTTAAAAAATACAATCTTTAAAAGAAAGAAAGACGTCATCGTTGTTGTAAGTGTGTGGATGGAGTGCACCCCAGGCCCATGAATATTGGTGCAGAACTAGGGACTGCCTTAGTTGAAAGATGAACAGAAACCATACCAAAAAAATGATTTATTTAAAGCAAGGGTGGGGAATATCTAGACTGAGAGCCATATAAGGCCCACAAAATTGTTTGGTCTGGCCCTGCCAAGGCATTAGGGGTGAGTTAATTAAACATTTGACCCAAATATAGCAGGCTAATTTTGTATGGCCCACAAATGATGTTATAAATATCCAAATCACCGCTGATTTAAAGGCTCATACAAAAGAAAACGTTTTAATTTTTTATGGAGATAGGAAGATAAAACTCGTTGAAAATATAAACTGCATTAACAAAAATTAGTGTTTATAATTGTAAACTCAATTATTTTAGCTGTTTTAAACAAAACCAAAGTTCTTCTGAACGGGAATCATGCTACCATATGAAGAATCATTCCTTTTCTCCTCTTTACCGTCTTTCCTATCAGCACACAGGCTGTTATTTTCCCCATTTTAAAGGCCCTCTTGACTTCACTTTCCCTTCAGCTATGTTTCTCACCTTCCCTTTACAGTAAAAATCCTTGAAATAAGTGTCCACATTTGATGTTTTCACTTCTCTACTCCTTTTCTCTTGAAGCCTCACCAATCAACTTTTGGTCCACACTACTCCACTAACACTGCTGCTGCCAGGCTCACCAATGACCTCCCCATTGCTAAATCCCTATGGAAATTCTTGACCCTTGGTTTTCCTCCTCCCTCATTAGCTGCTTTTTCTCATTCTCCTTTACTGGTTCCATCTCATCTCCCCAACCCAGTGTGGAAGTAGCCCAGGTTGTTGGTCCCGAACCTTTTTCCATCTACACTCACTCCTTGGTGAATTTCCTCCAGTCTTCATATTCTGACAACTCCCAAATGTTTATCTCCAGCCCACACCCCTCCTCTGAAATCCATACTAATATATACAACTGCCCACTGGACATCTCTAAAACTGAGCTCCTGACCTTTCCCCCTGAATCAGCTTTTCCCTATAGGTGTTAGTTAATGCAGTTCCATCCTTCATGCTGCACAGGCCATAACTCACATCTCACATTCAGTCAATCCGGAAATCTTTCCCACGCTTCCTTCATAATGTACCACTATGTCCGAGCCATCACCATCCCTCACGTAGCTCACTACAGCCTCCTAACTGGTTTCCCTATTTTTGCCCTTGCCCACTTAAGTCTAGTCTTATGAGACACAGTAATGTGTTCTCTCAAAACATAAGCAGTATCATGCCACATCCTTATTTAAAACTCTCCATCAGCTGCTCTGCTCACTCTATACACAAGCCAAAGCCCTTTCAATAGCCTACAAGACCAGAGGCCTACAGGGTGGGTGTCTGCTCTTCTCCCTGCTCACCATATTCCGTCACCCTGGTCATGCAGTTCCTGGAAGGCGGAAGCCTGCCTCAGCCTCAGGAATTCGCACTTGCTGTGCCCTCTTCCTGAAGCACTCTTCCCAGCACAGGCACATGACCTCCCTTCCCCTTCTTCAGGCCTTTCATCCCATGTCACCTCAGTGAGGCCATCCTTGACCACTGTCTATAAGTGCAATTCCCCCCATTCCTAACCTCCCTCCTCTCCCCTCTGCTGTATTTTCCCCCAAAGTACTTCATATACACAAACACACATACACAGAGTCTGTCTCACCTTGCAAGAGTAATATTTTGTGTGTTTGTCTATTTTGTTGACTGCTATGTATTCCCAGTACTTAAAATAATGCCTGGTACATTGGAGGCACTCAATAAATATATGTTTAATAAACATATGGATAAATGAGAGAGGACAGTGACACAGAGCTGTATATGATCTATGATAGTAGATCATGCAGTGTTTTTAAAGGGTTATATTTTACCGGGGCACTTCGTATGCATATACATATTCAGATATTGCAGAAAAAACAAAGCAGGTCCCATTCGATAATAAAATTAACATCATACAAAACCTGAATAATTATAAAGCAATAAGTCTCTAAATTGAGAGATGCTCTAAAATAACTCCAAGGTACCAGGATCTCTCAAAATCTTTGATCTTGCTTCACCAGAGCACACTGAAAGGATGGTCTCAAGTGACGGCTTTGGCAGCACACATACTAAAATTGGAACAATACAGAGAAGATTAGCATGGGCCCTGCACAAGGATGACACATATACTCATGAAGTGTTCCATATTAAAAACAAAACAAAACACACACACACACACACACACACACACACACACACACAAAAGAAAGGAAAAATGGTCTCAATATATCCATCCTACCTGAAGCAGGGAAAGTCACCAGGTCAATATTATGGACTTTGATTTTCCAAAAACGATAGAGAAATTATGACACAATGTACAGAGTACTTAATGTTTTAATGATGTATAAAATCTAGGTGTGACCTACTTTCAGTGAACCTCTGGACTCAAGCGTGAGAGAAGAAAACATGGAGTTGTTAGACTATAATAATGCGTACACTCAATGAACAGACATATTTTCATAAACCACATTTTAAAAGAACTTAAAATTATCGTCCAGGTAAAAGGAAAGCCAAGTGATTTCAAAAAACAGTTAGAAACAGAAATAAATTATTCAGGAGGGAAGTAACTCCACACACAGTCGTGATAGGAGGCAGATAATAGGCAAATGTAATTTAAAACAAAAATGGAAAGAGTGTCCTCATTCCTCTACTTCATAATATTAATTCGCACACGCTATTATCAGGTTTGCTTTTGTTTCTGAAGTTATGCATACAGTAGAAGCTCTTTCCCAACCTCCAATTAGCCGATCCAGGATGCACAGTCACCCTGTAAATCATCCCAGCTGATGCCCATTATTATTCCATGCTCACAGCCACTAATCAAGACACTGGCAAACTCATGGAATTCTGCTCCTACCACTGAGCTCATAGTTACCAAGAATCGGTGTGTTTGCTCCCAAACTGATTTGTGGCGGTTGTTTGTACTGAAATTATGTAATTTCATTAAATGTTATATAAAATAACTATATATATAATAAGAGTCGTTTCCGTGAAAGTTAAGTGGAATGCTTGAGAAACAAGACATTAAATGGCTATCAGATAATTCTACCAACAATGGTTTATTTTTAAATTGTGTTTACTAAATAGAGGCAAAATACAAATTATAACTTATTTGTCACATATAGATTCATGATGCAAACATCCCTATATACATCAAGAAATTATCATTATCCTTTTAACTTCCCTGTGAACCTTCTTGATATATAATGATTTTATAGATTAAAATATTGTCTCACTGAATCGCAGATATATTTATTTTAGCAGTGCTTCTGAAAATTTGGCTTTAATTACTCTGAGCCTATTTAGTTCTTTGAAATATATAAATTGTTTTATATATAAATAAAATGAAAATATATTTCAAGTAAATATATATTTACTTAAGCTCCAGATTTAGAATATTGTGCTGTTTCATTTGACTTTTTTTCCCCAAACAGGACCCATCAACACAAGAGACAGTCAACTGACATTCAAACAACACAAGGAAGGTGGGAAGAAATGAATCAAGAATGAAAAAAATAAGATAAAATCAAAGGAATGAATAAAACAGTTCTCTAAAACCGTTAGATCACATCAGGCAAACACAGCCCAAGTCTTTATCTGCTCTATCAGATACCTCTGCCAGAAATTCACAGTAACATATTAGTCTTATCTTTGTGCCCTAGGCTGTCATTCCCAAGAAAGCTCTGATGAAAGTCACACACCTGGAGCTCTACAAGCAGCCCATGAGCACTATCTGCAAAGTAGGGAGAATTCCACTTTCCAAAAACAGTAGATGCAACGAACCCCACAGTGAAGCCAACAGCAAAAAATGATTAGGCCAGAAATCCTACTGACTAAAAACTCCACCCCACTGCAAGACAAGACTAAACGTTAGAGCGCCTACCTCCCCTGTCCACACATTCTCAGCAGGGTTCCTGGGCTTAGCTACTAAACAGCCTGAGATGTTTAACTCACTCACTGAACAAACATTTATTGTGCCAAAGCACCACACAAAATACAAGAATTTTCTTCTTGTCTTCCACACTGTATACCTACAGGCAATCAAAGTATAGGGTACAAGAAAGATCAGTTTTACCATTTAATAGCTGTGTGACTTTAGGACAGTGGTTCTCAACCTTCCTAATGCCACAACCCTTTAATACAGTTCCTCATGTTGTGGTGACCCCCAACCATAAAATTATTTTCGTTGCTACTTCATAACTGTAATTTTGCTACTGTTATGAATCGTAATGTAAATATCTGATATGCAGGATGTATTTAGGCAACCCTGTGAAAGGGTCGTTCGACCCACAGGTTGAGAACCGCTGCTTTAAGAATAGAAATAATCCCCCTTCCACCCGGGTAAGCATAACCTACCACCCAGGTCACACTTAGTGTTCACTTACTAGTTGACTGTTTCCTTACTGCAGGCACTGTTCTAAGCCCTTCGTAACCATTAAGCATTAGTGAGGTATTCTACTGGGTAAAGAGGCAGTTCAACAGAGACATTAAAGTACCTTCCCAAAGGGCCACAGCTCGAAGGTGGCAGAGCCAGGATGCCACTCAGACTGTCAGAGTCAAGGCACACTCTAACCACTACACTGCACTGCTGCTCCTTGGTGACAGAGTATCCTTTAAGACAGGGGTGGGGAACCTTTTTCCTGCCAAGGGCCATTTGGATATTTATAATATCATTTGAGGGCCATACAAAATTATCAACTTAAAAATTAGCCTGCTATATTTGGTCAAACATTTAATTAACTCACCCCTAATGCCTTGGCAGAGCCAGACCAAATGATTTCTCGGGCTGCCGGACATTCCCCACCTCGCCTTTAAGAGGACAGGCAACTGAGTCTCCCTCCCCTGTTAAAATGAGCTGGCCCAACCTCACATTTATCAAATTCTTTAGGAGACCATGAAAAACAACCCAAAACAAGAAAGTGTAAGGGTTATACCTGGTATAAAATGCCATCTATTTTGTTTTCCATGCCTTCTTTTCCCCATAGGCTTTCATGGAGATGTTTGTGGCTATGGGAGGCCTCCAAGGATTCAATAGTGATAAAAGCAAAACAAAAAAACATGAACAGGGAGGAAAAGAGGAGGGAGGAATACGCTCAAGAGTGTGCTGGCAACCTTATGACTTGGAAATATTTGTGAATCTGGTTTAAAATATTTTTAATTTTTACTTTTCAAATACAATTTACTTTCAATAATATTTTGTATTGGTTTCAGGTGTACAGCATAGTGGTTAGATATTTATATAACTTATGAAGTGATCCCCCTGATAAGTTTAATACTCAATTGGCACCACATATTCCCTATGCTATACTTTATATCCCCATGACTATTTTGTAACTACAAATTTGTACTTCTTAATCCCTTCACCTCTTTCTCCCTGAACACGCCCGATCTCGTCTGGTTTAAATTTTTGTAGTAGAACCATGTCTACTACCTGAGGGGATGGGAAGAGCATTTGGGTTGCCTTGGATCAAGAGCAGTAGCTGTGGTAAGCAAAGTTGCCAGACTGGCTGGGTAGGCTCTTTGTAATCACCCTCAGTGAGGCATGTTTGTCACCTGGAAACCACTCCCACTAAAGAGGTCTAATTAAGTTCTAGGGGCAACCACTAAAAGGTCATTATTATCACCAGTTTAGATCAGTTTCTCAGGTGATCTCAATCACCTGGGGGTGATTATGAAACGTGCTACCTCAGAACTACTGAACCTGAACCTGAACCTTCAGGCGGCCCTAGAAATCTAAAACCAGCTGATCCTTGTTTGGGAAACACTATTTAGATCATAAATTATGGGACCTAAAAAGATCACGAGGTGTCTTCTAGGTGGGTGTCCTCTCCCTTTTAAACAGTTCTCTTGTCTAATTCAGGAGGAAAGCACTATTTTCTATGCATAAAAGTCTGAAAAGAGAAGACTTCCAAAGTTTCCTTTCAATACACAGAAAGGTCTCAAATCCTCTGAGCGCTACAATCCTCCCAAGTAGCTTAGCTTAAATCCATCCTTTTTTCCCAACCCATAATAAAAGGGATGATATTCATTACACAAATCATTTTACAAATCATTTTGTCGACTGACTTCAGCAAATATGTGAGGCCCTATACATGTGTTAAGCCCTCTCGTGTTAAGATAAAGAACCTCACTTTTACTTCAAAGGATAGGAATATGAATGTGAAAAGATAATCCATAAAAGTTTATCTAATAATAAAGTTGTATACAGAATACATAAGGAACTTTCACAATTCAATAATAAAAAGACAAATAACCCAATTTAAAAAGACAACCTAATTTTTTAAAAAGGTCAAAGGATCTGAAAAGATGTTTCTCCAAATAAGATATTCAAAGAGCCAACAAGCATATGTAGAGAAGCTCAACATCACTGGGTAAATGCAAAACCTCAATAAGATATCACTCCATACCCACTGAGATGGCTATCTACCCTTCAGTATGTGCCCAAGAGAAATGAAAGCATATATCCCACAAAAACCTGTACATGAATGCTCACAGGAACATTATTTCTAATAGCCAAAAAGTGGAAACAACCCATCATCTACTGAATTAGTAAATAAAATGTGACCTGTCTATTCAATTAATATTATTCAGCAATAAAAAGGAATGAAGTACTAATACATGCTACAACATGGATGAGTGTTGAAAACATGCTAAATGAAAGAAGCCAGTCACAAAAGGCCACATATTATATGATTCCATTTATATGATAAATGCAGCATAGGCAAATCCATAGAGACAGAAAGTAGATTAGGGGTTACCTGGGTCAGAAGATGGGAGCAATAGTGAGATTAGAAAGTGACAGTTTATGTGTCCAAAGTTTGTCCCGGGGTGATGAAAGTTGACTATGAGGATGAATGCACAATTTTCTAAAAATCACTGAATGTATACTCTAAGTGGATGAGTTGTGTGGTATGTAAATTTTATCTCAATAAAGTTGTTTTAAACAAGAATGACCCCCCCCCCAAAAAAAAGAATCCTATTTAACCTCTATGAGCCTCAATTTCATCTTCTGAAAACAGGGATACTACCTATCTTACAATATTGTAAAGAAGATATAAGAAGATATAAATTTACATACATACACACACACACACACACACACACACACACAGTGCTTCACACAGTGTGTCTGGTACATAATAAATACTGAAT